AGTCATGGCTGAGAGATGGGAGAGGCTGAGGCAAGTGGTTGATCGCAATCAAGTTTTCAGTCTGCCCAAGTACCCCAAACAGTACTGCCTTTTCTCTGGAGAGTTGATTGAACCATATCCAGGTAATGATGATGATTAAGATTAAGTTAATTAAAACATAATCAGGAGGAGGATGATTAAGATAGAACCTTTTTCTAATAATAAATGTTTTGTGCATACAGGATTTGCATGGTTGGAGGCCAAGGAGGAGGAGGAGGAGGAGATAGACTCACAGAAGGTTTTACGAGGATGCATAAAGGTACAGGGAAGAACAGGGAGCCGCTTTGGGGTTGCTCAGAAGTATATTAGGGTCAGCTTGCTCAGCAATGAAGAGGTGTTTAACCAGTTCTTGGAGAGATTATCAACTATTAAATCCATGAGCAGCAATGGCCATTAAATAATAGTTATTTGTACTACACACAAAGGAAAATGGAATTACCAAAACAACTGTAGGAAACTTTTTTTTTCCTTTGGTTTTTTTCTTCTTAATGGTGATCGGTACTTGAGTTTTCCCCCATTTCTCAATTATAGTTTGGCACTTCAACCACTTTTGACCCTGTAGTTTCAATTCCGTCAATTTTGACCATGCAGTTTTATATTTGTAGCAATTCAAGGACAAATTAATATTCCGATCAATTTGTTTGACAATGCAAGGGGCAAATTTGTCAGCCCAAAATCCTTGAGCATAAAAACTCGTCTGAAACTCCCTTAATTTCATATTAGGTTTTGAAATTGGTCATTTGGGTTTAGGGTTCTTCAAAAATTGGGATTAGTGGTTAAATTTCGAGCCCTAATATGAAATAGGGAGAATTTCAAACAAGCTTTTATGCTCAAGGGTTTTGGGTTGACGAAATTGCCCCTTGCATTGTTAAAGAAATTGATAAGAATACTAACATGTTCTTGAATTGCTACAAATACGAAACTATAATGGCAAAATTGACGAAATTGAAACTACAGGGTCAATAGTGGTTGAAGTGCCAAACTACAGGGACCAAAAGTGACTTTTGGCCAAAATTAAATTGTGCGATACATTAATGACATTTTTTTTTAAATGTAAAGAAAGTGACACATGTCATGAGTTGAAGGGAGAAGGTTTAAAAAAGAAGGTTAGGCCTGTTTGGTTCATGGAAAAGGAGGTTTGGGGATGAGAAATCAATTGCTTTCCCATGTTTGGTAAGTCCAGGCATGGGAAATCGTTGCCTTGAATATGGGAAAGTAGGGAGAAAGGGAAGCTCCCCTCCCCCTCGGGAAAGTTTGGGAAAATGAGCTAACGTTAAATACACATTTTTCATGACCATATTGTCCACATTAAAAATTTAGAATTACAATATAGTATTAAATGCATTCTTTTTTTATTTAATTTCAATGGGTATAATTGAAAAATTAAACTAATTTTGTTTTATATTCCTACACAAAGCAAACATGTGAAAAGAAATAAAGTGGTATTTCTTGGTTATTTTCCTAGGATTATCAAACATGGGAAATGAATTTCCATTTCCCATCCCTTGGGAAATGACATGGGAAGTGGTTTCCCCTCAAATCCGTTATGTGAACCAAACGAGACCTAGAGAAAGATTGCTAATATTCCCCTAAAAAAAATAGTAATATGTGGGTACTTATATTCATATGTACATGGAAGATTCAAGTTAAAATCTGAACCAAAAAAAAAAAAAATCATGCCAAAAAAATTATACTCGATCAACCAACCTGATATATGGAGATGATGCATTAATTTGTTTATGTGCCAGTGCAAACTAATGCATTCAAATTAAAATTTTATTGGATTTTAAAGTAGTTAGAATTCCATGAACTTTATTTGACTTTCTTAAACTCCACATATACTTTTGATTGAATTTCATAAGAATTTTGATGAAATTTGTTGGAATGTTATCAGAGTTTTTTTATAAACTTCTATAAATTGTAAATAGTGGTAGGCCATAGTGGTGGTGGGGATGGTAGAGGCATTAATGGTGGCAACGAGAGTGGTGGCAATGACATGTCAAGTGGTGGTGGTGGTGGCGGTAATGGTGGGTGATGGTAGTGGTGCTGGGGTGGCGGCAGTGGCCGATATGCTTTTTTTTTTGGTTCAGGTGTGCCTTCTTCCAAGCCTTAGTTGTGGGCTTCGGTTGACTTTGTTTGGGTGTGAGTTGTTTGGTGTTGAATAAGCACATCAACTCCTTCAAGTTTGATGAGTGCTTGTAGTCTTTCTGCAGGAGAGTTTGCTTTGCGGGTGCTACTTGGCTTTTCTAGACAGATGTTTATGTCAAACTATCTTTGACCCTATGTGGCTTTAAGTGGAGGTATATTGTATGAGTTTGATTTTGCCGATGAATCCCTCTGTATTGGTTTGTAACCCCTTTGTGGGTGATGATTTTAACCCTTTTATGGGTAGTCGTAGTGTCTCTTATGACTATTATATTTGTATTATCCTTAGTGGCGTAATTTATGAATACAATTTTTCTATCGTTTGAAAAAAAAATTAAAAAATTGAACTAAACTCTATGTTGCATGGAATTTACTCTTTCTGCCACTTAAATAGTACTTAAACTAAAAAACATAGACTTGTTCTTTAATTATAATTTATATATGTCTATAGCATCTTGATGCACATCTACATTGTGTCCAACACATGACAAATATATATTCAGTAAACGAGTATTGATCTTAACATAAATCAAAATTTAAAAAAAGAAAGGTTGTTTTCGAGTTCAATTATCAATGTAATTTTTATCTTGGAATGTTTATATCCGTGTCACCATTCTATATACTTCTTACTTGAATATTACTAGAGGAAAGTAATCTGAATATTATAAGAGGAAAATAAAATTATAAAGTGGCCACATACAAAACTTCCTCCAGAATTGGAAGTTATATATTTATTTTGTTGCCAAAGTTACGAAGGGTAGGGGGCTTGAACCTATGACCACTTGGGTGCACATTAAAGATCCAGGCCAATTCAAGTACCACTCTATTGGTAAGTTGGAAGACATATTTAGAATTTGTTTAGGTATATCTGTGAAAATTATTGAGATTTTTTGCCTATTAGTTTGGAGGTTCTTAGATTTCCATGACTTAGAAAAAGAATGAACATGCTTGATATGGTAATATTTAATATGACCAAACATGACAGAAAACCCCCCAAAAAATTATAATTAAGGTGCATGAACCTCTCTCGACATGTTACCCGATGCACCGAAGATGTTTACATTTTGTTCTTATATATAAAGAGAAACACAAACGAGGAGAACCAACATTGACAGAGAGAGAGAGAGAGAGAGAGAGAGACCAAAAACTTGGACAACAATTAAGTGTGTTGTTAGAGAAACAGAGAAGAAGAAAAATGTGCGGCACAGACAGCCCTGCTTCCATTAACAAAAGCTCTTTGCCCTCTGCCAACGGCAATGACACTCGAAGCCCTACTTGCTCAGCTGACCATGTCCTCAATCTTGAACAGTAAGTTTTCTCTACCGTTCTTTTGCCTGCCAATGCCATCTTTCTTGCACAAATTTAAGTAATTATTATTGTGGGTTTTGTATCCTTAATCAAAAACTCCATCAAGTGGGTTTAGTTAAAATTGGGTCATTAAGAATTGAACATGCATGAGATTAATCATTAGTGTTGGTGTTTTGGATTTGGTGATGACAGGGGTGACCCAGCAGTGTTCGAATCATACTGGAGAAAGATGGGGGACAGGTGTACGATGGTGATCTCTGGGAGCCAATTGATGAGCTATATCAGCGATTTCACCAACATTTGCTGGTTTATGGAGCCAGAATTTGAGGAGGCAGTTAGGAGGCTTCATCGTGTGGTTGGAAATGCAGTGGTGGATGATCGGTATATTGTAGTTGGGACAGGCTCCACCCAGCTCTATCAGGCTGCGCTGTATGCTCTCACTTCCCCTGGTGGGCCCGAGCCCGTCAGCGTTGTGTCTGCTGCACCTTACTACTCAGTAAGCATCCTCTTACTCATTTACATTTCATCACAGCCGTTGGTTACTTGGTGTTTGTTGGTCAATACTCAATATATAGATCATGATCATGTAGGCTATCTTTTCTTAAGTCAACTGAACAAGATCATCAATAGAATGCTGCTTCAGCTTCACTCATAAATTATATCAAATTAAGCGTGTTTTCAGCCCTTGTGTTAGCTATGCAATTACTACCTGGTTAATTCAATTCGCAGTATGACAATTATAAGTATGTTATATTTCTCCGAGTATGTGAAGGGGCCGACATTATTATATGAGAAGAGTGTCGTGGAACATGCAGATGTTTGCATGGGAGATGCGAAAGAGGCAAACATATGTGTCTTTTTGGAAACATAATCATGTTTGGGAACATGCAACAAACATATGCACGTATATCTGTGTTTTGAAACCTTGGCAATTAAATATAGTAACATGGGCATGTCTAGTTTATTAGTAGCCACCTCATACAGTTGTGTGAAAAAAAAGAAGATGAAATATTGTTTGCTGCTTGGTGCTTGCAGTCATATCCGGACGAGACAGACTACCTTTGTTCAAGGCTATACAAATGGGCAGGGGATGCTTATGAGTTTGATAAGAATGGAACTGGACCTTACATTGAGGTTGTCAACTCCCCAAACAACCCCGACGGCACCCTCCGGGAGGCCGTCGTGAAAAACAGAGGTGATGAAGGGAAGCTCATTCATGACCTTGCCTACTACTGGCCACAGTACACACCCATTATTCGTCCGGCTGATCATGACATTATGACCTTCACATTTTCCAAAAGCACAGGCCATGCTGGCTCACGCATTGGGTAATATGATCAATCTTTGCTGTTTGATCCACTTGAAAATTGCAGGTATGAGATGCAAATTAATTTTTTCAACTTGGGTTTGTGTTTTTTTTTTCTCCTTTGATCAGATGGGCTGTTGTTAAGGACAAAGAGATTGCTAGAAAGATGTCTAAATTCATAGAGATGTGTACACTTGGCGTGTCCAAAGATTCCCAGCAACGAGCTGCAAAGATAATGGGGGTGCTTTGTGATGGCTATCAGAATTGCAAGTCTGCTAACAAATCTGATGATCTCTTCTTTGAGCACACCCGCCAAATCATGGCTGAGAGATGGGAGAGGCTGAGGCAAGTGGTTGAGCGCAATCAAGTTTTCTGTCTGCCCAATTACCCCAAACAGTATTGCCTCTTCTCTGGAGAGTTGATTGAACCATATCCTGGTAATGATGATGATTAAGATTAAGATTAAGCTAATTAAAACATAATTAAGAGCTTAATTTAGTTGGCCTTTTTCTAATTAATACATGTTTTGTGCATACAGGATTTGCATGGTTGGAGGCAAAGGAGGAGGAGATAGACTCACAGAAGGTTTTACGAGGAAGCATAAAGGTACAGGGAAGAACAGGGAGGCGGTTTGGGGTTGCTGAGAAGTATGTTAGGATCAGCTTGCTGAGCAACGAAGAAGTGTTTAAGGAGTTCTTGGAGAGATTATCAACTATTAAATCCATGACCAGCAATGGCCATTAAATTTAGCCACATCTATGATCTATCTATTAGTAGTAAGTAATGGGCAATAATAATAGTTTATATGTACTCAGACAGTCACTACACACAGTTTGATCGCACTCAGTGCCTAGCTGCTGAGGGTGATGACGTTTGTATCGTCATACAGAGCAAATAGGAATTCCATAATTATTATTTCTATTTGCTTAATAAGGTTTGTATCGTCATAATTATGATTTACATATATAATATACGAGTGTTGCTAAAAGAACCTAAAATTAACTGAGTACACCTTATGATTTAAGTTTACTTTAATATTTTTAATCAAAATATAAAATTAACTAAGTACACCCTATTTAATTACCAAAAATTACCCCTGAACAGGGAGGCGGTTTGGGGTTGCTGAGAAGTATGTTAGGATCAGCTTGCTGAGCAACGAAGAAGTGTTTAAGGAGTTCTTGGAGAGATTATCAACTATTAAATCCATGACCAGCAATGGCCATTAAATTTAGCCACATCTATGATCTATCTATTAGTAGTAAGTAATGGGCAATAATAATAGTTTATATGTACTCAGACAGTCACTACACACAGTTTGATCGCACTCAGTGCCTAGCTGCTGAGGGTGATGACGTTTGTATCGTCATACAGAGCAAATAGGAATTCCATAATTATTATTTCTATTTGCTTAATAAGGTTTGTATCGTCATAATTATGATTTACATATATAATATATGAGTGTTGCTAAACGAACCTAAAATTAACTGAGTACACCTTATGATTTAAGTTTACTTTAATATTTTTAATTAAAATATAAAATTAACTAAGTACACCCTATTTAATTACCAAAAATTACCCCTAATACACCCTATTTAACTACTAAAAATTACCCCGATAAACCCTAATACACTCTATCACACAACACTCTAATACCAATGCTAAACCAAGTTTCTCTTTTTCCTACACAACCCCACTCCATAAGCAAGGGAAAAAGGATAATCGTCTACCATATTGAAGCAACTACTCAACCATCACTAACTTCGTTAAGATATAGGAAAAAAGCATCAATCCATTTAGTCATAAAATTCACAGGAGCTCAAATATATAAAAACTAGAATAAATAAACCAAATTAGTTAAAACAAAGACTGGGTGATTGCGAAAGTGGCTACATCTGACTTTTAAATGTCACTCCACAATTTGGAACAAGTGCCCCTTTAACAAAACTGGATTTACAAGTTGGTAACAAACCAAATCGAAACTACTTGGTTTGCTTTTTTCTTTTGTGAAATCATCCCAAGTTTACACATTGAAAACTCAAAACGGATTCAACCAGAAATACAAAATACGAATAGAAACCTTTTGAAACTTGGAAAAAAGAAGCCTTAAGAAAATAAAGGTGCTAAAAGAAAATAATACAAAGAGCAACACCAAAGGATTGGTAGTTACATTGACAACACAAGATGCATATATGCAACATATGGATATATACACAGAGACGACTTCTTCTAATGAGTAGCAGGACTGAGGACATTCGAACTATGTCTGGCTCTTCTAAAAGAGCGCATTGAGATGCCTTTCCTTGCTCCTTCGCCAATGCTCGCTGCGTTGTTCGCCGTGTGCACCAAGCAATTAGAAAACTTCTTTACGTTTGATTAGAATTGAATATGGTAAGTAGGGTGTACTTATTAAAGTTATATTTGTTTCACAATTTCATATATCTTTTTTGGTCATTTTATATTAGGATAAATTAGTAATTCAATAAATACTATAGAGTGTAGTCAATTAATTTTAGAGTTTGTTTAGTATCACTCATACCATGTTCACATCTTTATAGAGTCCATTATGCATTGTATTTCAATAATTCAATAATTCAAACTATCTTTTTATCAGCACTTAGTTATCACAATAAAATAAATAAATATGAGGATTCAAAAATACACTTTTTTTTTTGGCAGTCTTTGATGGAGGACCTAAAAGTAACGGTTCAGATTAAATACAATGCGAAGCGGGCACCACAATAACGTCCCTATTGAGGGATCCCAAAATTGAAAAATTAAGAATTGAAGAAAAAAAAACATGGCAGCCAAAATCCATAACAATAACCAATTCTCAATTCAACGTATAGACCAAATCTACCTTCCGGTAACCATCAACTTACAACATCGTTAGATGAACATTCATTATACAGAGACAAAAGCAACAGAACCATTCTCAACAAACCACAGATCTCAGGCAACTGGTTTTCCAAGAGGGTCTTTAATGTATCCACCAGTTTTGAGTTTGAACCATTCAAGACCATCAGCAAATCCGGAGGATGGGGAAACTTTATATAAGCCTTAATTCATACTCGCCAGCCATGGTTATGTATCTCACCCATGGAAGAGCTTGGTATCCGCTTTTTTCAATAATCTTCAGGTAACGAACCTACAAAACCCCACCCAATTTACATAAATGTCAAACTTATCTGCTTCGGTTGGTTCTGCATCCCAGAGATAGAGCAAGCAATCAGGTGCATACCTGTATTCCAGAAACGGTAAAATATGGTATCTCGAACTTCACACGTATAGGAGCTTTTCTCTCAGGAGTTGCTTCTTCAGCTGTTATACTTGGAAGACGAAACTCTGCTCTCAACATATACTCCTAAGCAATTTGGATTAAAGACAGTCAATAAAAAGAGGATGAAGTGTACAGCACGGGGACAACATAATAATCTTCTTAAACTATATATAATTTTGGAAATGAGTGCAAAGATATTTAAAATGAATCCGCACCTTGCCACCAGGAAAAGATCTTATTTTCCAGACAAGTGCATCACTTTCAGGTGCATATGCTGCAGATCCTAATGATGTCCGAACCTCAGGGTTGGTGGCATCAGATAACACAGGGACCTCAATCTCCACATTTGTTGCAGTGCTGTGCAGTTAAGTTTTCATGAGAACTAAGGGAATAAACATTAAGGTACCCAGAGAACAAAGCAGTTGACTTGACTAGAGACATGATTCGGCAGCAGTAACTAGACCCAACCGTCTCAGTCTCCATAAAAATAAAAGAAACTTTTCTAATACCTACGCTCCTTGAACTGACTTCTGGCTTTTACCAGAATCTCAATACGACTTTTTGAATGCCTTTCAATTTGAGCTTCAACCCAAATTAGAGGCTTAACCTAAAAGGGGAAATAACGAAAATCATTAAATGGCATGGGGCAGGCAATTAACAAACACCACACACAAAGAAAAATAAAAGAGAGCATCAATAGAGCATGAGGGATACCTGTGTACTCAGCCTATATGTCATGAGATCAAAAGCTCCATCAGGTGGTACAAAGGATATTGTCCGGTCATTTTCAAACCGGGCCAAACGCACACACCTAAACCAAATTTTATGATTTAGTGCGAGGACTTGCAGGAATATTAATGATGTAAAATCTCAAACAATTGTAAGACAAGCGCAAGAATTCAGATAAATCAGAGAAAGCTACATACTGATGAAATTTGATGTCTTCCAAATCAATGGCCTTCCCCTTTGTTGCTCGGCCTTGTGCCTCCAACAGAACTCTATCATTTAAGCCCAGCTTACACTCTGGCATACCACTGCAACAGGAATTCAGTAAATACTATAGTTCCCAGATGATACTCTCGGTACATTAATGAGAAGGCTAAATAGTTAAAATGTAATTGGAATTATAAAAATTCACTAGAGCACACCATTCTCTTCTGGTGAAGAAAAAGTATACTGTACTATTGTTGAGTGCACGCATACAACTTGAGGCTGTACTTCTCAGATCTATAAGAGCTTAGGTGTTTGTATGAACAGAGTCGAACATCACAGTCAGAACATGCTAAGGAAGTCCCAAGTAATTTAGCGAGGGTGCAGTAAACACTCGATTGACATCGTTTAAATTATGAAATTATTTATAAATTTCCAACACATAATTTAAATTTTCAAACAAAAAACTTTAATTTCTTGAAGGGTCAAATTGTTGTTGAAGTTGAGACAGTCTGCCGCCGCTCAATAAAATGCAAGCCCATGCCAGCCCTAGAATACAATAGATTAAATGGGAAAATAACCCATGAGTGTAACGTTTCGTTGATCAGTCACTTTACTGCATCGACTAGTTTTCCATGGTGAACCAAGGGTTTAGTTAGTGGCTTTCACAACGATAATAACAGAGTACTCCAAAGAGCAATATTAACTAGAATTTACACCATTGTCCTCTTAATATTGTTTCTTCCTAAAATGGATTGAAATACTAGCATACACCAAACAAACTAGAAAATCCTAAACTGATATCTCCATATGGAATAGTTGTATTCAGTTGGCATTTGGCTAGCATATGAATCTACTGCCAAGTTCAGTGAAAGAAGCACAAGTTAGACTACTCAAGCATAGATAGAAATTCACTGGGTTAGGATGGAAACACACCTCAAATAAGTTCTCATCTTCAACGCACCAACAACATCAGACCTAATGATTTGTCCATTGCTGTTGACAAGTATGTTAACACTCTCCACCACATCCAGGAAAACCTGAAAAATAAAAGAGAGAAAGGAAATTCATTTAGTGGTAGTTCCAAAAAAGAATAAATAATCTTCTTTTTTCCTACCTCATTCTTCTTGTAGCGTATCCCTTCACTGCGCCAAGACACTGCATTTGTTACAGCCATGGGAGGTCTCTGTGTAACTTCCATCCTGTAAGCATCAGTCTTGATAAATTCACTGAGAATCTTGGCTTCAGTATACTGAGGGTAACCAAAGTCCATCATCTCATCAAGCAACTCATACTACAAAGAAAGGGCACAAAGATCGCATCAAATCACAAAATCTCATGATCAAACATAAGCCAAATAAATGGTACAAATATCTTCTTACCACAACCACAAAATTATCCCTAAGTGATTCCTCTTCTAACTCTTCAAAGTAATGCTTGAAAACCTGTGGCCCAAGCATGGATCACCATAAAGTTAAAAAAATTCCCAATCATGCCGGCGGAAACAATACAACTACGAAAGATGAATGCAACTTATTATTACCGAAAGAGCTTACATCAACTATGCGGTGTAGAAAGAAGAGAAGACTAGCGGCATTGCAGTTCTGCCTGGACGCAGTCATCAAGTAAACATTGTTATGCTGTATAAACAAGTAGCTTACGCCATTATCATGCACAACTGGATCATGGGATTCCGGATCAACCTGAAGCACATTGCGCAACCACAAAATGAAAAACAAAATGCCGCTTTCAAGTTCTACTCTTACAAAATAGATCAAAGAAAACTTCGTTGTCGCTAATTTCAGAATCAAACGACACAAAAGGGAATAATTTATAAATAAACGATAATTCAGTTTTGTTTTCCTTCGTTCTCTCAGCAACCAATCAGTTCCTCAAACAATTAAGATACAGAAAGCGCAGAAGCTGTGGAAATTGAGCAAGTGAAAGTAAGAAGAAGCTTCGAACCTCTTTCTCGATGAGCTTAGTGAAGAAGCGCTCGGCTTGAACGGCGGAGACGTCGCCACGATAGTCGCGCCAGATGAGAACGCGGCCTTTGATGTCTAGGAGGAACAGCGCCGAGACTGCCCCTGCCATGAGGTCACTGGTTTCTGCGTAGGATCAGATCGGCGTTGCAGAAATTGGATGCGATCTGGTTCTGATTTAGTAGCAGAGTCAATTAGCTAGAAGGAGAAGGAGAAGGAGAGATCACGTAGTACGCAGTAGATCTGAATCTGAAGCTTTGGGTTTTAGGGCTTAGGGCTCGGTTCGCCATCTACTATTTCTCTTCCAACATTAACCGTCATCTTCAATCTCCCTCTCTGAAGAGTCTGAGTTTGGAAATGGAGCTGTTCGCGGTGAATATTTGCCTCTTCCAGACGTTAGAGACCCGCGACTCTCTCCTTCTTACGACGCCGTTTTAGGTTCAATTCTTAAATAATAATTAATTACGACTCAAGATTTTCCCTTTCCTATATTAATTGAAATCGAAAATGGGTATATAGTGACTTTATTAATTAAGTACATACAAAAATTATAGGATTATGATAGAAAGCTGTTTAAATTTATAACTTGAGTAGAAGAGGAGTTATTTCTGCAATCAAGGTCCTGTGTTCCCTCACTTAATGTTGCTTGTATAAAAAATAGGCTTATTTACTGTAGTACCCTTGAAACTTCGGTCAAATCTTCCTCTACCTCCCCCCACCCAAAAGTTAAAGTGGCCCACTTAAACCCCTTGACCATGATTTTGTGTTCCACTTTACCCCCCACAGTTAACGCCAAAAGACCATCAAAAATCCTAACGTGGCAAGGTCATTATAATAAAAGCAACCACCGTGGCCAATTGCTGAGCATAGTCAGCATCTTACGTGGCACAATGGACCACACATGCTTTTAAAATCCAAATCTAAGCAGCTCAAGGGTTTCTGAATCTAGAAAAATTACTTACCACCATTTCAAGGATGTAAGGTTCTATATCCAAAGAAAAATTTCTCCATCTTTCTTCGATTAAAGGGTGTGAAGATGAGGAAAGAACCTTTATGAGGAGAAGAGCCGGTCGTTGCTGCACCTCATTGCTATTGTGGCAGGCTTGCTTGGTGTTGCATTCCTAAAAGGACACAAATTAATGTGCAAACAACCAATTAAAAATACCCGCAAGTGCACGAATCTAATGAAG